GAGGCATGGCTCTCTCTCTCACACACACACACACACACACACACACACACACAGACACAGACACACAGACACACACACACACAGACACAAACACACAGACACACCTACTCCAAAACTGCAGCTCAGGGCCAGACCGCCTAACAGAATCCTGCCTTACGGAAGAATCTGGAATCACTCTGTTCTGCACTCTGCCACGGCCCCAGACCCCGACCCTAGGGTGAAAGGCACCTTTGGGACCCACACGACATAAGTAAATGGCCTGGATGCTATAAACATTAAGCCTGCATGGAGAGGGACTCCCCCAAAAAGCTGCCATTCAGGTTTGACTGGAATTTGAAGGCAAGCAGTAATGCAGCAGGGCTCCCCCCTTCCAATATTAATGACAAACGACAGAGTGGGGGTCACTCCACCACAGTGCAGAGCACTGTGAAACGTCACCAAGATAAAATCTCATAAACTGCACAGGAGGTTTTAATATAATGGAGATATGGTTACACCTATACAAAGAGCAGCCTACTTCAATGGGAATGGCCAGATTCAAACTGCCCTTTATTCAGTGTCCTGCTGGCAATCTCAGCGGCTCTCCAGACCCTCAGCCCCGCCTGGCCTTCACAAGGACCGGGCCCCTGACCACATCCTCTGTTCAGACATCTACGCACCACCTAGGTGATGAAATGAAGACTATGCATATTCACAGGTTTGTGATAAAATCTGGAACCGGACCCACAAGGTGTTAATGTCCTTCAATACTGTTCCCAAAAAGACAAATGTGGATCTTCAACCACCTGAAAAGCAGACAAAAATATCTGAATCCTGTCGGTGTCCGTCTGCACCCCCCCCCCCCCCCCCAAAGCTGTAAACCTTGGGCTGCTCACTTCACTACATATCATATATACCACCTAACCAACCTACCTGTGGAAACTCAGGGCCAATATCTGTCATGGTGGCACCAGGGCAGAATCTCAGTGTCAGTGGCACTTGTTACGACGGGGGCATCTTCAACCCGTCTGACCCAAACTTCAAATTTAGAAACGAGTCTTATCACTGTCTGTCAGCATCTTGTTAGTAACAGTCTTGACACCAGCATTAGACACATGGCTTTGCCCATATACTCTGCCCTTATATTACCTGTGCTGGACAAGTAAAGCATGTGATAAGACTGCCTGTACCTGAGGCGACCCTGAGGTTTCCCAGCACAGAGCACACCCTCTTATGATACGGGGCTGTCCGGTGACACCCCAGAGCCCTACGTGGGTTTATTCTTACAGGACAGGGCCATCAGGTGATACCCCAGAGCCCTACGTGGGTTTATTCTTACAGGACAGGGCCATCAGGTGATACCCCAGAGCCCTACGTGGG